CAGAAGTAAATATGCAGAAAGTCCTATTTGATAATGGAATGATTCCCAACTACTGCTGCAAATCCCACTACCTGGACTATAAAGACTAGAAAATATTATTAATCAAATACTGGAAAATATTGGAGAAAACCAGCCCCCTTTTTACTAGCCTTGATTTTAACTCAGTAATTTTCAACTAAGTTTTCCAAGAAAGCCCAGGAAAGTATCTTCAGTTGCCCGTACAGATGGAGGTTTAAGTTTGGTTCTCTTTCAAACCAAACTTATTTCTTGAAAAATGTTGAACACCTAAAACTTTGTCTCATCTAAAACTTTGTCTCATATGTTATTTTGGAAAAGAAAAATCTTAAAAAGGCTTAAGAGTTCTGCGGAAATTTTAAACAGGTTCACAGAATTCATTTCCCTTTTTAAGACCCACCAGCAGACTGAACACTCAGGACTGACTGCTCTAGTTATGAGGCATTGCATTTTAGCACACTTGAAAGAAAATCTTTCTCTCCAGTAGTCTTCTGATTAAAACCAAAGGTTCACAGATAAGCTCTTGAAAGCAAGACATACAATGCAGACATTACCCAGATTTATTATTTTCACTTCTAATGTATCAAGGAGGTTAAAAGTTTGTAACTTGTAAATTCGCAACATGATCAACTTACAAAGTTATTTCCATAATAAGACTATACTAAGTCCTTCCAGTTTGCTAGGAAACAAAATACAGTTTTAAAAGCCCAAAATACATGGCAAGAGTTCTCTCTTAACTGAGATAGAACAATTGATTTGAATAAAACACATTAAATTAATTCTTCATGTGTCTCATCTAAAATTAAAGGTTCCTGCTCAGCACAGGCTAGAAATAAAAAGGCACAGTAATAATATGTGTTTTCATGACATACTAGTGTTACTTTGCCAGATGACAGAATAATTATAATCTGATCTTTGCAAGACACTGTTTGGCTCAGAACAAAGAACCTACATATACATCATATCCTTTATCTTACAGTATCTGTGAGTATTTGCAAGCTACTGTGTTCATTTAATGCATTCTAGGGTAACAAAACAGAGAACTCAAAGATTTGTTCTGGCTGTCAAAACAATACATTCAAAATTACTCCAGTGCAAAAATGTGTTAGGCATATCAAGTATCATTTCTCCCACGTAATGGCATAAGGAAAAACCTTCAAGATATAATAACCTGCTATGTATGGAAATAGGATAAGTGGAATAATTACAATACATGAAGTGGATCCTTTCCTCCATTTTCTCTGGAAACATACTTTAATTCTGTAAACTCATTTTTTTTTCACAAATAAGGAAATAAATTCCTTACCACATTTTGGTTTATCCTGTGCCTGAAGCATGTGACGTAGACAACATAAGGCCAATCATCAGGTTCCATCAGCACTCCTGTAGCATGGGCACAAGTGACATGGAAGGAGGCTGGGCAGTGTCCGTATGAACACTGAATGCAGGCTCCAGAGGTTTTCTTAATTCTATGTCTGCAGAGGATGCATTTCTGTAGAAGCAAAATAAACAGAATATTTACCATGCTCCCAAAACCTATTGACTTCTGCAAGTATCTCAAAGACTGAAAAGTTATTTTTGCATCACTGATTACATTTTATACCTTGCAATATGTGTGGCAAAAGAACTAGCATTTATGAATTACAAGGTAACTTAGTAATAAAATAATAGCATTTTTGCCTTTTTACATTAATGTGAAAATGATCTGTTCTGGTGTTACAGGAAGAAAACATACTGATAGCTATTTAAAAGTTTAATTTTAAATTCCATACACTCCTCTGAAAATTTACCGGCTCCTCCTAAAATGGCTACACAGAAAATCCTATACGTAATACTACAAAAAGTAACAAGACTCCAAAATGAAGAGAGCAGGCCCACAGAAATATAGGCCTAGACATGACTTCCATATATAATTTAACCTAGCCTGCTGCTTCGAAGCTGCACTAAATATATAATTACACAGTCTTTGGGTGGTGACTAATCATGAAACGGTCTCTACAACATCCTCAGATAACTTGTTAAAGTGTACAATCTCCTTGAAGTTAGAAACATTTCCTTTATCTCAATTCTTTTCATAATTCATAAAGTGGCCCATATGAAACACATACTTCATATGTGGGCCATATGAAACAAATGAAGGGACCTAAGCTAAGTAAGTCTGAGAAACAAGCTCCACCATACTAAAAAGACCTAAGTGGAAGAAAACCAGTATCTTGCCATCAGAAGACATTAAAAGACACACTAGATAGAATAATTACTTTAGTAACTTCTGTAGCTAACTGTGTTACAACACGTATGGAAATTATCCTCTGATAACACTCATCGTGGCTAAAGAAAAATGCAAATTTTTTTGGATAATCAAATTCTCCCAGCTACTCTGAAATACACACATTTTATTTAATAACACAAAACAGTGAATTCAAATATTTGCAAAAATACTGCTGGAATAGTAATTACTTCTATTTGTTCTAAATTTGCTAGTCACTGATATTGTTAAACAGCATCTTGTCTGTCTATGCAAGGAACACAAGTAAAAAAAATTATTTTTTTACTTTATGGTTAATAATTCAAGTCTTTCAAATTAACTCACATCAAATTCTTCTTCCCATATGACCAGAGAATTTTGTTCTATTGTTTATTAATTTCCACATTCTGAAGAAAACCTGCAGAAATTTTTCTGTAGAACTCAGCACTTACATCATATCAGTGGCTTCTGGCATTCAGTTGGTGACTGTAATAATGCTTTTTGCAAGTGCTAGACCTATCAAATTCATTGGTCATTCAGGGTTCTAGTTCACAGACCATTCTGGACTCAGCTAGTTCTGCCTCCATAGCCACCCTCCAAAAGCCAACAGCTTGCATGGCTGTGCACAAACAGAAACAGGAGCAGCACCTGGCATCCGCAGTTTAGCTAAAAATTTTGCCTATACCTCACTAAAAGGACCAGAACTCAGCTCCCTCTGCTATAGCAGCATCAGGTCTGAAAGACTACTAGGAGGTAAAGATGATTTTGCCATTAAAAGAAATGTTCCAAAGACTTCACTGATATGCTGATATCTCATTGTGCAGTTGTATTCATGTGCACAAAATCATTTTCAATTGTCAAGTAAGTGTTTCTCAGGGGAACTTAAGGATTTTTTATATATACATATTCAGAACCAAGTAAAACGGGAATTCCAGAAAGAAAATACAATTGAAATATGTTACGTATAATGTCTAGATAGCAAGTTCATGCAAGTACACAGCTCCTTTGAATGCTTTTTTACACAGATTTGTACACAATTTCACCAGTCAGTTTAATGAAAGAAGACTGAAGTATGAAACACATACAAGTTAAAAACCCATACAAACAAAAAAATGACTGCAAGTTCTGAATAAAACACGCCAAAAATGCTGTTCAAACAAAATGTAGAGAATGGGGAAGAATTATAAAAAAGTAAAGTGTAGCTAAACTAGCAGTAACTGAAGGAAGTTAAGTTACAGCAGGAAATCCATTCCCTTTAAATTACTGACTGCACTTGTGCAAGGCAGCAAATATGCAAACATTACAATGTGACTATAAGTTTCTTCAGCATCTTCCTAAGTTATCATGAAAACTTGGGAGATGCAGAAATCTAAAACAGCACAATGCATGAGTAATTCTTCATAAAAAAGATACACTTAAAACTATGTAGGTGTAGATGTACAATTGTTCTTCTATTGTAACATTTTGAGGCTTACCACCTTTCAGAGGTGGAAAAGCTGAGAAACATAAAAGCAACATCAGGATAGTGAGTGATGACTGAAGGGAAGTTGGAAGTTCAGTCAAGAAAACTGAAACTGCAACACATTAAACAGGATGGCCAAATGCACAGACATGAGAGCAAAACTTCATCCCCCACTTCAAAAGAGATTGACTTCTCTGTTCTCTTCTAGCATAGGTTAACTAAATAAGAACATACTTTCTATAAAGAATATATATATCAACTATATTTCTGTCATGCTGGTGTAAGATTCCTGTAACACTGATTAAAAGGGAAATTAATACTCCTTGGCCATAGCTAATTATGTGAATGAAGACTTCAAGTTGCATGAAGAAAGTGAAAATACTTCCTGTGTTTTAACCATGAGCTGGATCAGTCTCACTGCCAAATATAAGGAAGATAGTTGTTACATCAGTTAACTCCATACATGCATTAATCTTTTGTGGTACACTCTTACGTTCCTCAGTTATCAAAAAGACTAAGATCATGGATATGAACAGGGTAAAAAAAAGTTACTGTACATGCAGGAAATAAAGAATTCTTATTTTACCCCATGCTTATGGAATACTAGAAAAATTCTGAAAATCAGTTTTCTTCCAGAAACATGAAAAGAATCCAGGTTGACTAATTAAATGTTTCCTAGGATGTGTAAGATGCTCTGTCCTTTGTATGGCACTGAAAAGATTGATGCAGATGTAACTTCAGCTTTATGGTAAGTCTCAAACTTAGGCATAAATTTTGAGAAGTACACATGCTGAAACAGAAGTCAAGTGTACAAGCAAATTGTATCAGGCAGCATGGCTCCATTCAGAGCTATGAGAAAAAGCTTCCTCATGAAAGCATGTCAAACAGTTAATCTACCATTATTGATTAACTAAATCAGAATACACAGAACAAAAGCAGAGCAAACTATAAAAATCTGCTCAGCATAGATTTTTTTTTTTTTTGGAACTATGAGCTACATACCAACTTATACGTTACTGCAAATAGTAAATTGAACTGTGCTGTCTGACCCATGATGGCAATTCTTTCTGTCCCTAGATTCTAACTAACTACATACTGTCATATTCTCATTTGGGGCTTTATGGCATATGAATTTAAATTAATTTTTCACCTTTTTTTCCCCCATGTTATTTCTTTTAGTATAGTGATACATAAAAAAAGGATTATATAAATGGAGGAAATAAAATTACTGAAAGCAACCAAAGAAAAAAGGCATTAAAATTATGAGAGAAGAACGGAACTGCTCCTGCAGAGGACAGAACCTGAACACCTCTGTCTGGGCAAACCTGGTATTTAGGTATGTAAGCTTGCTGCTTGTGAAATTAACAAGCTTGACATACTATGAACACATTTACTGAAATACAATCATGCTAATTCAATGCCCAGTTGACAGTTTTTCATTAGCTTGAAATTACAGCTGTTCCTACCCGCTAAATCAAATTCAACTTCCTAGATAGCCAGGAAGAATGTCATTTTAACTTAATGCTTGCTAGATATTAGTGCAAAGCGTAGACAATGGGGGAAGTAGCTGAGGATCAATCTTAATCAGAGATTCAGATGCAAAATGAATTGAAGAATAAATAAAATTGTTTATATAACTGGAGATTAAGAATATAGGACAGAAGAATATATTGCAATTTTCTAGATGGTGAAATGACCTCTTTTTACTCCACAAATGAAAAATATTCTGCTGCAAATGGATTTCATAATCATGGAATAGCTCTTTAATATTAATAGGCTGCAAATATATAAACAGAATGGATTTTAAAGAATGAGTCTGAGGAAACTGGATGTCAGTATTTTACAGAAGAAAGCTTTCATAATTTTTATGCATCCTCATATAAAGAATTTGGTGTTGCTTCCCTCAAAAAGAGTAACATTTACAAAATAAAATTCCAGTCTCTAACAGGATCATGAATCAAACACAGTAACACTGCTTTCTGACGCAAGAATTTATGAAAATGAGCACAGCTGAGGTTGCAGCAGAAAGCTGAGGCTAGATTTTAGGAAACAATTGGAGTATTATTTCTTCCCAAAGTATATTTATGGCTTGACAAGAATAATGACTTCTGTGAAGACGCTTACGGTAGGAAGGCATTAAACGGTATAAAAAGAAGCTCTGTCAAGAAAGCTTCAAAAAATCTTTAGATTTCCAAATATTACTAAAAATTAACGCATAAGAGCTCTTCTACTGCTGCAGATGACTACTAACCACTGGTTAGCAATTGAATTGTATAGTCTCATCCCCTTTTACATTTTTGGCATCTTTTTGCCTTCTAGGTATAATTAGAAATAAACTCTAAGAGATACCACAATAAAGTTTAGGAAATTAATGAAAACCATGGTGTTTTGTTTGTTGGTTTGGTTTGTTGCTTTTATTTTTTCTGTGAGATCTGCTGTAGCACCTCAGGATTTTATAATTAATCTGCTTTGCTTCAGAATTTGTATTACCAGACAAGCAATACTGCTGTGGTGTATGATCACACTCAAGATATGAAATGTTAGTCCTACTGTAAGCAACAGTAAAATATCCACAGATTTTAACAGAGCAACGATTTCACAGAGAATATTGACAGAAGGAGCTCCACCAGCTTATCAACTGTTATAACTTGAGACATAGAGTATAAGATGCACAGTGAAACTAATCTTTTCTTTTTCCAGCCCAAAGCTGTAACATGGATTAGAACTGTGAAAAGATTACAGTCTGGTTGCACTGCAAGAGCTGGTAGTTAGGTACTGGCACAAAGAGCTGTTAAGGAGGCACAATGCAATCAGAAGA